CATCGTTAAACCGTACGCTGAGTTGTGAAGATGATTCGAAATGAATCAAATCACCGTATATCGACTCGATAGACTGAATTTCTTCAAGTTGTGCTTTTCTGTCACCTTCACCCATTCATGCAGTTTTGCCGTTTACACGGTACCTAGTTACCATATTACTATTATGCACAACATTTGATAATGCTATCAATTTCTTTCGTTGAAATCTAAAATCGAATAAGTAAAACTTTTAAAGAGGATTAAAAAATTAAGCAAACTAAACGAATTTATTGTAGTTGAAGAAACAATAAACGGCAAGATTCGGCCAAATATATGCACAATAAGTAACGCAATATATTGGTCATCTATACGCACAGCAAGTAACGTAATGTGTTGGCCATATATATGCACAGCAAGTAACGTAATGTGTTGGCCATATATATGCACAGCAAGTAACGTAATGTGTTGGCCAAATATATAATGTGATTTGTTGGTTAAATATGTGCAAAAATCTGTGACATGCTACATGACATGTGTGCCACGTAACACACGAATCACAGATTATGTTAATGCACGTAGAGTCATCTAAAGTCACCAAAGTGACGTGTTCTAGAAGTTTACAGTTTATAATTTAGAGTCTAGGATTTACAGCCTACAGTCTAGAGTCAAAATCTAGAATCAGCAAATACCGGCACCTACAGGAAAAAATCATTCTGAGCAACCGAAAAGACGAGAACTCGAATTTTAGAAAAATTGCATCCGATGCGCTATGCAACGGCTTTAATCCCACGTGATAGCTATTTCAATTGTGACATAGAATTGATATTTTCAAAGTGTTAACTCTTAAATTCAAAACGAAATTTTAATATGACATTATCACTATTCTTGCAATTAATTGTGTGATTAAAATATCTGATAAGAAGTGAAAATGATAAATGATAGTAGAGTGAAAAGATAATAGAGGATGATGGGAATTGTTAAAGAGTATATAGTAATATATAGAAAGAATAAAGAGATGAAATATGATCATAGAATATTACAGAAGTTGAAGAAAAAAAAAGGAAAAACAAGACATATATTTATTTATTCATTTAATTGTTAATAGGAATTGAAATCAAGTTAATTTGGGGTAAATTACAAATATCTTGTTTGGTATTCCTGAAAAAAAAATTATCAGAATATAAAAGAATTGAAAATTTATTGAGGATAATAAAATTTTTGATTCAAATTTTTTATAATCTAAAAATTATTTAAACTTCAGGAAATGGTAAAATTGCGATGATACACATCATTTGATAATACATACTTGAATTCCAATTCTGTATTTTGTTAAAAAATTTAACCAAATGCTCCTCCAGTTCATTTGTCAAAATTACGCAAAAAATTTAGCCTATGTACCTGCGTTACCTAAAATTTAATCACTTAATTATTTAATTTAGCCTAATTGCCTGCTCATCTAGTTATTTATGTTTATGATTAGCAACAATCAAGACATATCATTTGCAAATTTTAATAAATTAAATGGTCAGAAATTGTGAATGGAATGTTTTTATGATCACAAACACTTTACTGAAAAGATTGAAATATTCATCTGATGGAGCATTTTTCAATCATCAAAATAAAATGAAAATATTTGAAAACAATCAAAATTTGGTAGAACGAAATTTTGCTACAATTAGTTTTCTAAAGTTCAAAGTTCATGTAATTGTTTCGAAATTATTTGATATAAGAAAGCAATTTATGCTTTATCGTCAAGAAAACATGAAATCAGCGAAAAATAAAAGTTAAAAAAAAAAAACTAAAAACTCATACCAAGAATTCCTCAGCTTTTCATAATTTTTTTTTTTTTTAAAAAAGAAGAAAACTGTTATTCATTTCGTGGTACCTTTAGATTATTGATCAAAAAAGATCAATCAATAATTAGTATCTTTAACAATTATCATTTGTTATATTGTGATAAATACCAATATTTGATTAAATTTATACTCAATAATGTCATGAACATAAAAAGTTTAAATTTTGTACAATTTCAATAATATTTTTAATTAATATTAGGAAAAAGAAATTTGACAAAGAAAACATTAAATTATAATGAATACAATTCAAAAATACATAGATAAAATCAATTTTAGGTAGGAAATGAAATGGTTTACATTATATTTTATCACTGATATCATTATCACTTTACCAAACATAAAGTGTTTCTTATTATTATTATCAAAATAAATTTTTGCTCATATAGAGGGGCAAGGTGGGAAAAAAAAACCAAAGAAAAAAACGGATACCATATAAAAAGAAACGGATATCATTAAAAAGCATAAATAATTTATTCAGTGTTATAGATATGCATTTGAAATTTTCAATTTTTTGAAAATAAAACAGGATGAAAGAAATTTCTACTATTAGGTAAGTGAGTAAGTAAGTAAGTAAGTAAGTAAATAGGTAAGTATCGATAGTATATATATATATATATATGTTGCAGAAAATTTATAAAATATTAATTAATTTAAATTTATAATTGATATGTATAAATTATATTAGTATTATGATCAATTACTTAACAAATTACTCAAGTCAGATCATAATTATTGTTAACCTGAAATCGGCCTAATAGCACTGTAGTAAATAAGTAAAAAGTCTTTCACTTGATCATTATCAAAATATCCTTCATATCGGCAAGTATCACACAAAAAATCTGGCGGAAATTGTCGTTTAGGAAATTCCGGATCTTCCGTATTTTGACCACGAAGGCGAGCATTAACAATGTTATGTGCTTGCCACAAATACATAAATACATCTTCCGGTTTACGTACCTTAAAAATATTGACATATCAAATCAAATTAATTTTGTACATTAAACTGTACTCAATTACTTATTTGCACTTAATTATTTTTTAATATTATTAATCATATCAATTACTAATTACTTTTCAACAGCTTATATTAAAATTTCACTAAACGCAAAATTTAGATAGAAGTTGAATTTCCGGTACTAAGTGGAGAATACCAAAAGTGCCACCACAGTTAGGTTTCCGGTTCTAAAGAGGAAATGATATTCACAGACTTTGATATCCTTATCATTTCTGGAAAATAAAACGGATGAATTCAAATTAATTTTAATATGGATATTTAAAGATTGATTTTGATCTAAGCATTATCAACTTTAACATTGTAAGAGATGATAGCATAAAAATAACTAACTTGGCTTTCAATGCGAAAAGTTTGAGTTGTCATACGAAGGAAATGCTCGCGACAATGTTGACAACCAAAGAAATGATTCACCCAATTACGAATTGCCACTAATGGAGTTATTGGAACAAATTTGGAATCTAAAATTTATACATTTCCAAATGTATTATTGATTAAATATTGAGTATATTTGATTCATCAAATTGAGGATATTTTTCCAGTC